GTAGTACACAAACCCCCTCTTTTTTTCTTTAATTCCACACCATTTCAAGTCTCCTTTCTCTCCGAGACTTTCATCCATCTTGAGCCTAAAATTTTCCGCTTTTCTGAGTGTTTTAGAGAAACCCTTAAGTATCTTGGAGGCTTAGAAGAGTAGTATTCATGTCGAGATTTTGTCCGCACAATTTTCTTGGTTTGCGCTAAAATCTATGTAAGTTAAGCTACATTTAATTTATTTCTAGTGTAACTTATATTTATGTTCGTATTGGTTATTATGAACCAATAAATAAGATTTATTGGTGATTCCAAGTCATTATGCTGATTGATCTACTTATGGGAGTGATGTATAGGCTAGATTTAGTGGGGTGTTTAAAGTGTGGTTTCCAAACAGTAAAATTATATACCAAACGAACCCTACCTCCGATATGATATTACCTAGTTGCTTCGTACTTTATAAATATTGATGTAGACATTGAGATTGTTGAGGTATCTAGACTATTATTAGTCACCATGAATATAAGACTAAGACTTAGTGACATTCGAACCTAGGTTATATCAAAAGAAAAGCTAAGTTCTGAAGCGAAGTGTTGCCGAATTCACTAATCATCGACTTATATCAAATTAGTGGATATTTACTTTCATATTACACATAGATACGAATTATTTAGATAATTAATTGCTATATGTGCCTATTATCTATGATTGAAACCTTCTATGTTAGGTGAAACTACATGAACAGGTTTTATTTTACCATATATTTATTTTTAGTACTTATAATATATGGGGTAGTGAATTGGTAAAGAGTGATGAAAATGATGATGAAAGGTCGTGAATTTTATAGTATACTAGACTAGCAATGTAGCTACCTAGTAGGGTATTGTTGATGACCACATACTATTCTAGAGAATTAGGGTCAAACATGGATAACCTTGCAACATGTAGATGTTTACATGCCACACATGGGCAAGTTTACCACCTGTTGGTGTTAATCTATCATACATGGGCACATATACAACCTGTAGATGTTAATGAATTCTATGAGGACAAGTATACAACATGTAGGATCTGATGAGTTGGACGCGGACAGGTCTACCTGTAGGTGTTACCGAACGATACATAGGTAGGTCCTCAACATGTAGATGTTAAGGAACATCATATGAGCAGGATTACAAACTGCAAGTATGAATGATTTATTCATGACGATTCTTTGCTCACCCCATGGTTGTCTTATTAACCCATGTTGCTAAGGAATCACCAAGGAAACATTGTTCACTTAGTAATCCTTTAGGATAAATCCCTTGAGATCATTGGTCTAGGACCAGGGATTGAGAATAACGGGAATATATAATCAGGTTATTTTTTTCATGAAATATATATTTCTAACAAATTAATTATAATATTGAGGGTTGAAAATCCTATGTACTCACCAGGTTTCCCAACCTGACCCATTTAGTTTGTTTGTATCACAAACAACATGACGAAGGTACATGGATAGTAATTCTTTGGATCATATGAGAGATTCAAGGATGCTTAGGCCATACTATAATATTATGTTGTAAGGTATGTAATGACTACGTTTATGATTATGTTTCTAGTATCGGTTATGACATCTCAAGTTTTTAATAATCAATGAAAAACATTTCTTTGGAAATACTTTTATGGGACAAAGTTCGTAATATAAATAATATTATGTTTTAAACTAAGCATAAAGAAAAGGTATTTTCTAACCATGAAAATAGGGATGACACAAGTGTTCCTTTGCTATTGTTTCTTGGATGTGAGGATACTGTTGAAGCAATTGTGAGTTAACAACGTTTGATCACTACTAAAAAGTAAAAAAAAATATCATTTATTAAATCCTTATTAATAGTGTCTTATTGGACAATTTTCTTTGTATTAAATATAACTTCACTTTAATAGGATATAGAAGTCGAATAAATACTGATAACTCTAAAGTATAAAGGGTCTAAAAATGTCATAAACCACCACATTGAAAAGGATGAATTTCATAAGTAATACCTTCAAAATATGTTTAAATAAGTTAAATCGACATAAGATGAGAAAATGAATTCATGTAAAGAACTTGTGCATTTGGAGGCATACTTTGAAAAACAGTTATATGGTATGTCCTTTCTAGGTGATCTAACAAAAATATATGTTTTCGACATGGTTATTTTGTCAGACGCTATCACCTATGGTCATGAAGATATTAAAATGAAAAGTTTTTATTGAATGGTTTAAAGATTGATACATTGTGAGAATAAATTTTCATTTGTGTTTTAGATTTTATATTTGTTTTTTTTTCATGTATCTTTGTTATATCATTTTGTTTAATAATATAAAAATTACGAATGATCATATAAAGTCCCAGATTTTCAAATAAACTTCTGATTTTTAAAATAAGCTTAACCATCCAAAATCCATCCTTTGAATACACAACATAAAATCTATTTTTTTCAAAATCATAAATCAGAATCAAATCATAAAAATCAATGGAAGTCTAAAAACAGTATCATAACATCGATACAATTGTACATTTATGCGATGCTCTTTCCTTACACACCTAAAGAACCTGAAAAATATTTAACTTAATAATGTAAGCATAAGGCTTCGTGAGTTCTTAAGCATACCATATATTCTACCGCACATACAATGCATAAAACAATAAGCTCATGCCCTCATTATGCATACCAACTATAGGCATTCAGACATCGTATAACTATAGGATCTCATCCATCAAACAAACTATAGGCTCTTAATCATGATATACATTGTAGGCTCTCAACCATAAAATAAACAAAGGAATAAGATCACATCATACAACCTTCTAAACATCCTAGAAAAAGACTATTCTAGTATGTTACCTATTTGTATACTAATAGTACATAAACATCCAACCGCATATTGGGCACATAATCTCACACATAATATAGTGAGAAAATTTACATGAATCAGGAAATCATAATTCAACAACAGCCTCCTCAGACGAACAGCTAACACAAACTACCTACTACTAATAAAGATCAGACCTCAACCTAATACATAAATCCATGAAGTTTAATTTTTTTGCCCAAATAGTGAATGTTCAATGGCCATGGAGTCAGATTTAATGGTAAGTACCTAGACGTATCGCGACCAACCAACATATGGACACATCATGTATGCTACATGACAAAATAATTGAGAATCCTTCCTCTACTCATCACGTGCTACGATTTGGTACATGTGTATCAACCTCTTAATAGATAAACATAATTTTTGGCTAATCTCTTTTGAATTCACGATACTTTACAGAAACCTTGCAAAAATTGCTTCTTTCACAACTAATATTGATATTCTTTCCAAATTCAGTTTCGTAAATTATTAAACATGTAATGCTTAACAAAATATATTAACTTTTTTTATTAAACACATTTTATGTATTACACGTGTCTCACAACTACTATATATATATATATATATATATGTTCAATGTTGAACCATTTTAGAAACCATAAAACCAAAGAACTAATCTTGGCTGTTAGAAAGAAAATGATGAATGTCCAAAAAAAAAGGGGGGAGGGGATGTACATAAGAGGTTGATGCACACATACTAAATTTTGTTGGAATAGCTCAATCCCATACTTACATGTTCTTACAGTGTTTTCTTCTTCTTCTTCTTCATCTTCTTCTACGTAGCAATGCTTGTAAAGGTAGCAATTGATGTGTTAGGTGGTTTTCTAGGATGCATTTACACATGAATCAAACCACCACCTCCTAGGGTCTGTGGATCAACTAGTAGACCTCCTATTACTTCACCTCGAATCCAACTTAATGATGGAAGACATCTATCTTACAGTGAGTCGGGTGTCTCCCAAGATTAAGCCAACTACAAGATCATTGTCATTCATGGCTTTGATAGCTCCAAAGACATGAAACTCCCAATTTCGCAGGTATCATGAACACTATATTTATTATCTTTAACATATTGGTCTTTTTTTTTTCTGATATATCTTGTCATAATGACAAGAACTTATTGAAGAGCTGCAAATTTACTTTCTGTCATTTGGTAAACCAGGATATGGAGAGAGTGATCCACATCCAAAGTGTTCAGTGAAACATGTGATGGGGACATGTTGTTGTTACTGAAGATGGAACAAACTTTGCCCCTACTCTACATGAGGTAATAATTAAAGATTTTTCTGTATAAAGTTTTAAGTGCTGAGGTGGGATCTAGTGAAGGGATGTTTTTTCCAACTCTAAATGTTGCTCTAGATTAACCTTCTACACTAAAGCCACATCCTGATCAACCGTCCATAACCTTCACAACTTCCAAATTTAATCCACTACTTAGCGGTGAAGGTGGTGGTGGTCCTATTCCTTTTGATCTTTCATTTCGTATTAATGCTAAGAAAAGGTTCACAATATATAAAAGGGAGTTGGATTCAAAAGTTTAAAGAAAGCACATACGCATTTATTGATCCTAGTAACGCATTGCAAGATGCTATTGAGGTAGGGCCTACTTCAATGAATCTTATGAGTCAAGATATGGGGCCATTGTGATTAAAGATTTAATCTAGTAATGTATTTTACTAGTAGGCCATGTATCAAGGGGTACGTGAGAATGTTAAGCGGCTATTACTTGGTAGGTGGATTTAAGATTTAATCAAGTCATTAAAGTATTTTAAGGATGATGTTTTTTTGAAATAAATATTTAGGTAGCAAGGCAATTGGAAGTGATGAAGGGGAAGAACAAAGCATGACCCACTACGGATTCTTTGGGTGATGCTTTAAGGATTGCACAACATCATGATGGTGTTAGTGGAACTGAACAACAACATTTCGCTAATGATTATTCAAAACGGTTGGCTATAGGCCAAAAGGATGTGAAAACTGAAAACTGAAAACTATTTGTGTATTTTTTTTATCAAAAGTTGTATTTTTTTAAATTTTGTTATATATGAAAAATAAAGTTATATTAATTTCTTGCATACTGAAGTGCTAGTTGCAGAGTCTAAAGCTTGTATGGTATCATCATCGACACCTAGATGTGGAAGTTTAACAATCAATTTTCAACAGGTATATATATGTAACTCAAGTATTTGTCTTTACACACACATAACATAACACTATTAAATGGGGTTGATAATTTTTTTCTTCATCAATTTTCAGTGTCCACTTCTGAACATAAGCTATAGCCCTCCAACTAAAACGGATCTATCATCTGGCAAAATATCGGTAATGATATGATTTATATTTTTATCTTCTCGATGAAAGTCAACAAAAACTGTTATGTTCTGTATATCTACATAAATGTGAAACGGAAATATGGAATATTGATTTTTATATTGTAGGTGGTTGTTGTCTACAATTCCCAAGGGTGGAAGAGATCTGATGTTATAAGACTTCCAGTGAGAATCAGTTTAGGTTTTGAACTTTTGGTTGCATCTAAATCACTTTTTTTTGGATAATAATAACAATAATAATATATTATGCGTATTATATATGAATATATAACAAGTTGTGAGTGAGAATATTGTCATCTATGACTCGAATGGAAAAGAAGTAGAGTATTAACTTCTGCCCATAGTAAATGATGATATTTCCCTTAGAAACTACTACATTGGTGCGTATACTGGCAAATCACCAAGTTCAACTCGAAAGTATTCACTTGCATTTACAGCATCTGTTCCACCTCTGATATTTACCACCTATGTCATTTCACAACAGCACCTGTCAGCATGTTGCTCGAACCGTTGTCAATTTAATGAATGCTGAAATTCTTAGGCATGTTACACATAATAAGCATATGACCATACAAACATGTAATCATCCAGTTCTAATGACAGAAAGTCAATGCCTCCAACATGAAGTATACATATACGTCCAATTATTCTTCTATTTATGCTCATATCTTATAATTTTGTCAAGGATAACATGCAATCAGAATATTGACACATTTATATGTAGTGTGTATTTAAATAGCGATTTGTATGATCTTGTAGGACCTAGATGCATTATATGCGGCTATTGTTGTGAGTATTGCCTTCTCTTTCATTCCTGCTTCGTTTTCTATTGCTATTATGAAGGTATGATACTCTCAAGTTGTCTTTTTCACATAATTAACAAGGAGCTATTGTATCTATTCAGACTAGGCTTAGAGCAATGGTTGCAAGAGATGAGTTCAGAAGAAGAAGAAGAAGACTAAGAAGAAGAAGAAGACTAAGAAGAAGAAGAAACAAGGATGCAACTATAGTTTAGGTACTATGGATTAATTATGTTTGTAAAGTATTTAAGAAAATGATTAGAAACAAGGGTGAATTTGTGATGATTAGTTAGCTACTTGGAAGTTGATCTTGAATAAGCAAAGGGTGAATGGATTGTACTTTTTGTATCTAATTCGTTTGTAATTTTTTTTACAACTTCTATTGATTTGTTTTATCTTCCCAAGGAATGATTATTTATATGACAGTAAATTTTATGGAATGGATTGTATTTTTGGTATATGATGTATTATTTTCTATTATGAGACATTAAATACAAATTTAATTTGAAAATTAGTAAATCTATAAATATATTTTTTAAAACATTTAAAATTATCATACGCAAAAATGTGTGTCATCTTCATTTATGACATGGCCTTTCTTGACAGTGTCTTCCTTGACACGCAATGCGTGTCATAAACGTGCATCCTAAATGCGCGTCCTAAACCAGTGTCAAAAATAGACGATGCACAAAAGCGTGTCGTCTTTCGTTATGGCAGGGCCTTCCTTGACACGCATTTGCTCGTCATCTGAGCATTTTGCGATACGTATTGCGCATCGTAAAAGGCTGTTTTTCTAGTAGTGCCACAAGTTAAATATTTTAGTTTTCTTCAACAATATGTTCATTTTCCCCTGACCCAAATATGATATTAGCTATTTTATTTCTACTACTTGACTAATGGTAAAACATACACAAATGTAATACTCTAATACATTAATCCACTCTAAAAGTATACCTTCCATATTACATAAAAGAAAACTGAATGATCACCAATTCCAGACAAAAGTCATCATTCAAATTAGTTCCTAATATCTTCTAGTCATAAGTCTAACATCAAATAGATGTTATTTGGCATGACTCAAGTGGATCATTTGGTGTAGCATGTATACACATCAGAAGACCAAAATATGATAACAAGGAGAGTAAATAAAATTAAACATGTACCTAAGGTACAAGACCATTTGTAGTAACAAACAAGCCACAAACACCATCAACATCTTATTTAATCAACTAAACCCTATCAATTTGTCCTTAGGCTTAACAATGAACAAAATTCGACAAAATATAAACATAAGGTAGGTTGCTATTCAAACAATACCGTGGGCCACAGTACTATGTGGAAGGACTAACCTCAATTTTGTGCATCTGATTGAATTTTGTGGTGATTATTAAGGATATCAATAATGATTATGGTCGATCATCAATCTCCACTGTGTGAGTCACGAAATAAGAAGGATTGTGGGATCTAGATTGAGAGATCGTTAAATCCATTGAGACAAGAATCAATCGTCAAGGATAAGTAGGAGATGTGAATTGTTCATCAGATATGAGGCGGGTATCAATCGTCAAATAAAGAAGCCTCCTCAACTCACAAACAAGAACAAATCCTCTTCGATCCAGTTCACTGCATTAGATTGCAAATCTGTTGATTCTTTGAGTCATCGTCGAGTATTTATTGATCCATATCACAACGACGAACTATTGATTCTTCGATGCATCATTGATGACATAGAGATTAAGAGTGTGGATTCCTGGAAGCAGGATGAGGGAAGATAGATTTAGGATAAATAACAAAGAGCGAGAGGATATTGTGGGTCACATATTCAGATTAGGGTCTAATTTTACTATCTATAAAATGCCCTATATTCAGTTTTGTAAGATACTCCCATTTATTATTTTTTTCAATTATTTATAAAATGCTATAAAAAAACTTAAACATCTATTTTTTTGGATTAACGACTCTTACACACAGACACACACACACACACACACACACATATATATATATATATATATATATATATAAAATTAAGCTATTGCGAGAACTCTATAACAACTCGAATTTTCCATTGAGGTTAGCTCTGTTATATTATCATGTTAAATTACCCTTCCATTGATTTAAGTTAACTTTGGGGGGAGGGGGGATTAAGTGTAAGAAAATGTTACTTGATCATGTATATGAATCATATAGCCATTTTCACAAACTTTGAGGGTCTAACATGGAAATATAGCTTATATTTATACACCACTTAACCCTAATTTGGGATTAATCAACTATTTGCAGCCAAAAAACCTTATTCTATGCATCGATCTTGTTGAGAGGGTGTTCTAGGGTTCTTGCCCTTGGTGGTGAGTTAAAGTGGAGAAGGAGTGTGAAGACATTAGTAAATTTGGTGGACTCTTGGTGGAAATTCTTGAAGATTCTTCCTTAGAATCCTCTTGGCGATTCATTTTTGGATTTGCAAAAGGCAAGGACATCTATCTATGATTCATTTTGCTTTCCTACAAATCACACATAAGAAGATGCCATGAATGACGATTTTTTTTTGTTTTGGTGTGTTTGTTAGTGTCATTCGTGTCCCTATCATTGTAGTCATCTAGAAATGGTCTTCATGGGTTAAGGTTATCCCAATATATGTATTCATCAAACCCAAATTGAGTAGATTAAGGTCATCAGTTGATGATCAAAAATCTATAACTTCCCAGTTCTCACGACGTGAGCATCCCCTTGCCACATGATGTCGTAGGACTTTTAACATTTAGGATCTCATCTCATTCTTGGCCAGGACGTGAGCATAAATTTGACACATCGTGTTGACATGCGATTAGTTATTAAAATCTCAATGGTTATTCTATATCATAACATGGAGATCCTCGTGCCACGACATGACAACAAAAAATAGTCAGGATAGAATCAGGATGAACACTGAGCTCATGATGTGACACCTTCTTAGTCACGATGTGAAACCTATTTGTACATAATCATTTTTATTCTATAATCTATTTTTTATCAGTTCTTTATTCTTTTAAGGGTGTTAGAGCACCTGTGTAAAGGTGGTTTTCTTCTGTTCATAGCTCCACATAACATGGACTAAAGGTGAATAATTCATTGTCTAATTAATGTGATGGTTTAAGCACTAGTTTGGAAAGATGGCATGCACCTATACTTATGTTCTTGTCTAATTAATGTGATGGTTTAAGCACTAGTTTGGAAAGATGGCATGCACCTATACTTATGTTCTTGTCTAATTAATGTGATGTGTTGTTATAATATGAATTTAAAGAGTTAATCATAACCTATACATGTGAAGTTATTGATGATGCAATTGAATTTAGGAGTCCTCTGTATGCTAGATATCATAAATTAATCATTTGGTGCAAATTGAGAAAGTTAGGACCATGGTAGAAGTGAGAATTATTTATGTTGTTAAATTGTGATTCTATGCATGTTATATTTATGTTTTGTTACTCTTGAATGAAACTAGGATATGCATACTAGAATTTTTTTTGATGAAAGATGCATCTCTTTACATACTACTAATTGATGTTTTGTATATTTATATGAATATACCTTTGATGTGTGATTGGAAGATGTATTATGGCATTGATGAACTATAATAATAATTCACTAGCATGTTTACATAATGGTAATGGCGAGGTCTGTGTTTTTTCCATGTGAGCGGATTAATTAATTAATTAATTAAAATAAAATGGGAACACACATAGCGAGCTTAATAAGGGTAGTAACCTAACTTAGATACGTGCCATTAAGGGTATTGGAGTGACGTTGGCTACTCGGATATGCTCGATGAATTATCATGATTAGGTGTAGGTATGCTTGTATATATACTGAATACCACCCTTAAAGTAAAACACATCAAGCTCGTACATGAAAAGTCAGACTAGTGAAGGCGGAGAACCAGGAACACTGTTACGGATGAGAGTCTCGCCCTATTTGGTGCACTGGGTCTCCAACTCACTTTAATAGTGAATAGAGTCTTATTTGGAGAGTATTGGCAATGCGATATATGCTAGTTGGTGAAGAACATTAATAGTAATTAAAACAACGCAAATAAATTAATAATTACTGCGATAAGAGAATGCTCAGATTAATGTATATACGTATATGTTAATAATTATCAATGTATGTTGCATGGATTGATGTGATTACCTGATCTAACATGGTGTATGTGTATGTTTTATTTCCTGGCTTATGTGCTTGATGGATTATTTTTTAAATACATTCTATGTATCATTGGTGATGTTTTCTTAATAAGACTTCCGTTAACGTTTTCTGATATAAATTGGTTAAAAATAAAATAAAAATTTTCGGTGAAAAATCATGGTGTTACAAGTTGGTGTTATAGTCAAGTTATGAGTAAACAAAATACAATGGCCAATGTTCAGACTCATAGTGTAGACTGGATCAATTAGATGTCACACCCCCAAACTAGATGGCGGAAACGTCCAGGGGTGGAGGACTTCATTTGTAGTATCACAACACATGCATCATAGTAATCAAAGTACAAACAACCATTGTATTTAAAAGTATAATATTTACATGTGTTCAATCATTGTTTATTGAAAACAAAACAGTTATACAAAAGAAGAAGATAAGACTCATAATGGCTCCATCTTCTCAAAAAGGTCGAGGAGTACCTGTTATTATTTCCCTGAGAATACAAGTAATTTGAAAAGAGAGTATCAACAATAAGTTGAGTGAGTACATAAGTATTTATGTTTGCATGGGTGTCTTTGTATTTTGAATATGAAAACTGTTCTAGAAAATCACATATTTTCTGTGGTATGTGAAAAGCAGTTTAATTCACATAAAATCGTCCTATTTGTAAACCAATGTATTTGTAAAACTTGTAACTAAGTGTGTGCCTGGCTTCACCAGCTGTTATTGAAAACTGTAGTATACCATTGTACTTTGTATATTGTAAACCGGTACTTTGAAGATGTACTTACGTTTAGTTGTTTATACACTAACGTGTTGTTAATATCTTTTTAATGACTTATTATAACCATAGTAAGATATGAACGCGTGAAACAAACACCTTGTGAGCGCTTAAACTGTTGATAACAATTGCCACTCATTGGCGTGTATGCCTGACTGTAGCTAGCAGCCTGAGTGCGGGGTTGTCAATCCTGATATAGATCTACACACAACTTGTTTCGATCCCCGGACTGGAGATTCTGGTTATAATGTCAGGGCTTTACCTTGGTTGTCTAAAATGAATTAAACAACCTGAATTGGATGTCTCATAAAAAGCATATAAACGTTACATGTATATTAGTTATGAAAACCCAGTCATTCTGAAATAAATGATTGATAGTATGTTCTTGAATTAGTATTCCGAACATGTATTTCACAAGTGTAAACCCTTGATTTGTTTTGAATTAAAACCCTTGTTTCATGTAAAACAGTGTATTCATGTATACTTAAATCATGAAGTATTGCTTTATGTATTATAAATTATACGTATTATAATATATATGTACTTTATGAATTGGTAAATAACTATTTTTGCATGTAATCCTTTACTCAACATATTACAAAGGGTATTTAAACTGATGAGATAACTTATATATTTATATACGTATACAATTTTATATATAAGTAAAATTTAAACGACCTTCGGAAAAATAACCGGTACTATAAGTCCACATCCAAACAAGGAAAATGACCTAGAATGAATTATTAGTCCTAAGCCTTTTAAATCTTATTTATATTAATATATATATATATATATATATATGTATGTATGTATATATATATATATATATATATATATATATATATATACAAATATGTATATTTGGGAAAAATATAAGTTTATAAAAGAGTTCAATAATTGGAGTATTTTTGATGCTTTAAAATCGTTTTATCGTTATTTGAAATCATTTATTTATAACACAAAGTTGTTGTGTTATACTTGTATTCCCCCCCCCCCTTAAAATAATAGAAATTATGAAAATACGGGGGTATGAACTCACTTGATAGGTGGTAATTCGGACAGAGTATCTTTTCACGAAAAGGAGTTTATTTGTCGAGAAACCGGCTCAAATCGGGCCGAGTTTTGACAGGAGAGATGATGAATTCTCAAGAATTTCGGGGCTTCAAGGCTTACTTCAGGCTCGAGTCTTGATACCGGGGCTTTAGGGGTTGTATATGAGCTTAGGGAAGTGGAGAATGTGAAAGAGGGTGAAAAAGTGAAAAATATTCGCAACCCTCGCATGCCTTATATAGGCCGAAGCCTCGGCTCCGAGGGTTATGCGAGGCTATGCGAGGCTGACAGTTTGCGAAGGAAAGCAGCTTCGGCTCGGAGGTGGTAGGCTCGGATTGGACCAGACCTCGGTCCAATGGGAAGAGGGCACATGCGAAGGAGCGGGTGCGAGGGGCGTGCGAGGGGTGTCTTCGATGTGTCTCTTGCGAGGTTGTCCGGTTCTAAGTGGACCTTGGTTGCGGTCCAATCAGAAGGCGACACGCGAGGCATCGGTCCAATCAGCAGTTGACACGTGGAGGCCTCGCATGCGAGGGTGATGTGGCAGTTACTGTTCATGCGAAAATTCCCGAATTTTGTTGTTTTTCTTTATTTTTGTGCCAAAACTTGTAAATTTCATAAAATTTTCATACTAACTTTGATTTTGACGTTCTTTATATGCACGCGTAGGTACAATTATACTCTACGACTTTCGTTTAGACGTCATCAGCAAATTTTGATTAGTTTTTTAATATTATTATTTTAAATAGACCGGGACGGGAATCCGTT